CGGCCGGGGCTCGCGAGGGCCGAGGGCTCCGTCGGCCCAAACCGAGCTGGGCGCCCGCGGCCCGGGTGACGCCTCCGCTCCGCCCCCCTCAGCACCTTCCCCGGCCCCCGACGTTGCGCCCTTTCCTCGCTTCTCTGCGCTCCCCGTCCCCTCTCCGGCCTCTGGTCCCGGCCCCCTCTCTTCTTCCGCAGCCTTCCCTTTGCTCCCTCCCGCCCCCCCCAGCTCCTTGTCTCCAACTCCCTCCCCTTCCACGCCCGCCCTCTCGCCTTCGCCGTCCCAAAGTGGATTAATTATACGCTTTCTGTTTCTCTCCTCGCTGTTCTCTCCCGCTGTGCGCCTGCCCGTCTCTCACTGTCCTCTCTCTCTCTCTCGCCCTCTCTTCGGCCCCCCCTTTTCACGTTCACTCTGTCTCTCTCGCTATCTCTGCCCCCCCTCTATCCTGATACAACAGCTGACCTCATTTCCAGATACCCTTTCCCCCCCTAAAAGTACAACATCTGGCCCGCCCCAGCCCGCAGACAGCCCGTCCTCCCCAAACAATCAGACGAGTTTCCCACCCCCCCCAAAAAAGCCATCCCCCCGTTCTGCCCCGTCGCACATTCGGCCCCCGCGACTCGGCCAGAGCGGCGCTGGCAGAGGAGTGCCCGGCAGGAGGGCCAACGCCCGCTGTTCGGTTTGCAATACGCAGCAGGGAGGTGGGCGGCCCCTGCGCCGGCTTCCAGGTAAGCTGCGTGCGGGCCGGGCCGGGCCGGGGCGGCTGGGCCCGGGGCAGACAGGGTGGGGGGCTGTCGGTCACGTCGAGGGGTGGGGGGGGGGGGGGGTGGACTTGGGAAGTGCCAAGGGAGGTGTGAGCTGTCTGCAAGGCGACTTCCTGGTCGCTTTGCGGGTGCAGGGGCTGTTGCTGAAAGTTTGTGATTTGTGCCGCGGGGGCGGGGGCGGGGGGCAGGGGGCAGTGCAACGAGGACGGGCGCAAGTCTCAGAAACCCACCCTGGTATGCTGACTCAGTGCCAGCAAGACCGAGAGAGGAAAACTGGGTGGGCGGGGCCAGGATGGAGCGAGGGGGGCCGAGCTGGCAAAAGCGTCCTGCCAGACACCGCATTCGCAGCGCACCCCCCTACAGCCTCCCTTTCCCTGTCCCCCACATTGCCAACCAGTGATCTGGACAGAGGGCCTGGTCCAGGGCTCAAAAGGGCAGCAGTGGACAACCCAGAGAGGGTAACTGCCCCTGCCCCAGTGGGCAGATGGAAGTTTCCATACAAGGAGGTGGAAAGCAGCCCCCCCCTCCCTGCAACCCCCGCCCCCATTTCCCGGTGCCAGGATGGGCTGGGGGTGCAGGATGAGCCCCCCCCGCCCCCCGTTCTTTGCTAAGAGATGGTGGGGAAGGCGGTTGGGGGTGCCGCAGAGAAGGGAACGGCTGGAAGGAGGGAGGGGGCGGGAGCAAAGGGGGCGGGGGGAGTGGTCAGCAGGGAGAGGGGTGGGGGTAGGGTGGAGCCGCGGCTGGGAGGAGCCGGCTCAGACATAAAAGCTGAGGCACTGACCAGCCTGCAAACTGGACATTGGCTTCTCCTCTGAGGCAGCCTTCCAGCCTCCTCCTCCCGCATCCTCTCCCTCCAGCCCCAGCGAGCCTCCTGTCCAGCTGCAGGTAACGGGGCTGTTGAGCGAGGACCCGGCTGCCCTCCCGCTCCGGCCTCAGCCCCTTGGCCCCTGCCCGCGGCCTCCCACTCAGCCCCTTCATCCCTCCTGTCTGCCTCTGCCCTGTCGCCCCTGCCCTCCCTCCTCTGCCCGCTTGGTCACCTGGCCCGCACAGCTGCATGCCCCTCGTCTAGTCTTCTGGTCTCTGCTGGTGCCCTGGACTGGACCCCGCACCGAGTGGCTGGGCTTGCAGAAGGATGGGGCCGCCGCTCGGATGGCCCCGAGTCCCTAGCTGGACAAATTTGTTCTTAGAATTTGAGGGGGGGGCGCGGCACTGGGCTGTCGGGAGGCAGGCTGGGGTCTGGTGCAGGGGTGAGCTGAGCCAGGCGGCAGCTTCCATCTTCCACGGAGCCGGCCCTGCTCATCAGGAGCTTAGGCGAGGCTGTGCTTCCCTCGCAGCCCCTCATTTCCTACACGATTTATTGCATCAAAATTCCCCTGGGCCCAGCATGCAGCAGCCTTGCTCCAGGCTGGCAAGGGGCGTGCTGCTCAGTGCCTCTGTGCTCACTGGGTGCACAGCCTAAGAGGGACACACGTGGGCAGCTCCACCCAGGCCCTTACTAGGGTAGCCTGCGAGTGCCACGGGGCTCAGGGGCACCCGGCCGTGACTGTCCCCTCAGAAGGGGCTCGTACCTGGGCCTGCAGAGGGCAGGCTGGGGCTGCCTGCCTGGGGGGCTTCCGCCTTTTGGAGGGCTAGGGGTGGCTTGCTGTGTCTCAAGAGGAGTCAAGGTCCCTTTCAAGCCCCGGGACTCCTTAGGGGACCTGGTTAACCCTTGCCCCAGGTCTGCAGCCACAAAACCTGGCGAGGGGGTGTGTCTTGAGATGTGCCTCTCCTTCTAGGTGGTACCCTGAGGGACCTGGGGTCTGGCCTCTAGGTGGCCTGACCTGTTCTCTCCAGCTCCTGGGGTAGGGTTGGGTACCCCAAATGGGGAGAGGGCCTGGTGGTCCTGGAGGGACTTTGAGGTCCCTGGCCCTGGGTAGTGTGATGCGAGGCCTGTGTTTGGGGTGCCCAGGGCAGACTGGAGTCGAGGGACTAAGTGATGTAGGAGAAGGCGGCTCCTGGGAGCGTGGCTGGCACCGCCGTGCTGACCGTTGGACCCTTGACCCAGGCTTTGCTCAGCCGCAGACTGAGAGGGTGGGAAAGACAGTGCGGGAAGAAGGGTGGTGCTGGCCCAGCAGAGCCCCCCTGTTGCTTTGGGAGGGAGGCTGGTCCTCCTGGCACCCTTGCTTAGCCGGTCCTCTGAGATGCACATGTTCTGTGCTGGGGTGGGGCCGTCTGCCATCTTGGCTGGCGCTGGGAGGCCCGAGGAGTGGCCGCTGCCCTGTGCCGGCCCCGCCCCCATGACATCATAGGATGGAGGCCAGGTCCAGTGTCCAGCACTGGCCCCTGCAGCTCTGGGTGTGGCTGAGCCCCTGCAGTAATAACGATGGGGATCCCCTCGCGAAATTACTGACTGGCACTTGGTGCCCCTCAGAGGTGTGCCCCGCACACAGCCCTTCACGCGGGGCAGCTCTGCATCCTGCCCGCGTCAGCAGTGGAAGCTTCAGCTCTTCTGTAATTAAGACAATTACGATTAAGGAGAAAGCTGTGCTTTAAAGCTGTAACTGGACTTGAAATTAGGAGATGGCTGGGCTTAGTGTCCCCGAAGGGAGCGGGCCCTCATCCCCTTGCTGGGCCAGCGTTTCGCGACGGCCTGGCTGGCGGGCAGTGGGAGGGGGCCCGGGCCTGGACGCGGGGCAGGGCGGTGGGCTCACGCCTCTTGTCTCCGCCCGCAGACACCAATGGGGATCCGAGTGGGAAAGTCGATGCTGGGGCTGCTCGCCTTCTTGGCCTTCGCCTCGTGCTGCTATGCTGCTTACCGCCCCAGTGAGACTCTGTGCGGCGGGGAGCTGGTGGACACCCTCCAGTTCGTCTGCGGGGACCGCGGCTTCTATTTCAGTAAGTAGTTCAGCGGGGCAGGGGCGGAGGGGTGTACACAGCTGGTGCTCGATAGATGCTGGAGTCCTGCTTACCGCACGTCAGACACCTCTGCAGGTCGTTCGGCACACCTGGCCTGGGGGTCGGGCCCAGGGAGGCCCCTCGGAGGTGAACGAGCCCGGGGCCCTCGCTCTGAGACTTGGCGAGCACAGTCACGCCCTTGCAGTCCACACTTATTAGGCACTTACGGTGTGCTTGGGCGGTGCCCGCACTCCCTGATTTCTTGCAGCATGACTCAAGGTGGGAGGGAGAGTGGACGGTGGTATCTTCAGGGGGGACCAGACCTTAAGTGGCAGGTGAGGGTGGGGTGCAGAGTGGGCTGGAGGCCGGGCTTCCGGGCGGGGTGACCCAGGCCCCCGCAGGGAGGCAGCCCTTCCCCTCCTGCTTCTCCCTGACCTGCCCATGGGCAGGGCTGCGGGCGCTGGTTTCCCCGCACGTTTTGCCCACATCTTGGCAACGGGCAGATACCCGTGGATGGTTAGATTTTAAATGGAATCAAATGGGTTGAAAACCAATACGAATGAAAGCACACGTTGCTGGCGGCGTGAGTGTGCATGCCCTACGTGCTGGGGCACACTGGGCTGCATCCACAGGAGGGGACTGCCGGGGCCCCCAGGCCTGGGTGGGATCCGCACCCGAGGGGCAGGGCGCAGTGCAGGGTGCCCGCCTGCTGGCCCAAGTGCTTTGGCTATACCTTGCCCTTCTCTCTGATTCCCGACCTGCGGGAGCTGGCTGGGCACGTGGAGACCTCTGCTCTCCCTTGCCCCTGTGCCCTGTGTGGCAGGGCGGGTCCCCCGTTGGAGGTGAGCTCTCCTTCGGGGTGTGGGCTCTTGCCCTCGCTTCCCAGCAATCTGGGCCTCAGTTTCTTTAACTGTAGGACGGGTCAGGGGAGTTCCGGAGAGCGTCCATCTGGGTAGCGGGAGAAACTGGGGAGCAGTTTCTTGACCCTCAAGGGGGGAGGGATTGTGTGCTCCCCCTGGGCTCAGCCAGACACCGCTTAGGGCTGGGTGTGGGTGGGGACATGGCCGGGGCAAGCAGGCAATGGCCGTAAGGCTCGTCATAACCAGCCCATCACCCACCACAAGGCACCTTCTTCTGCGGCCTTTACTTACCCACCCTCTGAAATGGGCCGAAGATGCCCGTCTCGGCATGTCAAAGCTTCTCTTTAAGAAGCATTCCCGTCCCTTGACGCTTCTGAGGCCCCTGCCTGCCCTGGCTCCTCCTGTGGCCTCTGTCTTCTGCCCCATCTGGGGGCAGGAGGTGGCACCGTACGGTCTGGTGCTGGCTGGCCCTTGCCCGGGGAGTGGCCCGCTGGCACCAGCTTTCCCTGAGAGGAGGGCGGGGCCGGGCCCCCAGCCCTTTCGGCCCCTCCCCCTCCCCCCGCCGAAGGCGGAAGGCGGGCGGGCCGGGGGCTGCTCCCTTGCAGCTGGGTCTGGAGCCTGTGCGCGGAGCGGAGGGGGGGCGGGAAGAAAGGAGGCCGTGGTGTCGCAGGTCCTCACTCCTCTCCTCCCGTCTTCTCCCTCCTCCCCGACTCCCGCCGGCCTCGGCGGCGCCTCAGGGCCGCAGGCACCCAGGCTCCGGGCCGGCCCGCGGCCGGCACTTGGGCCCCGCTCGGCCTCTGCGCCAGGACCCTGGGGTCCCGGGATGTGGGGCCGGGCCCCATGCATTTTCCAAACAGGCCCTGGCGGTGGACCGGGAGGCCGTGCCCACTTCACCTACGACGAGGGAGGCGCCGAGAGGCCAGGGGGCCGGTCCTGGAGCGCGCTCACCCCGCTATCCCTTCTCTCCTTTCGGGCCCCTGCGCGCCCCCCTCTCGCTTTCCTCCTCCCCTCCAGGCCGAGGCGGGCTGTCCCTGCAAGGTGACAGGCATCCTGTCCCAAGGGCAGGGCCGGGGGGCGGGCTGGAGGAACCCTGGGGAGCCCCCTGGGGCGCTGGTGCTGACGTGCCCTTTCCTTCCTCCTGTGGGACTTCCAGGCAGGCCGGCGAGCCGCGTGAACCGCCGCAGCCGTGGCATCGTGGAAGAATGCTGCTTCCGCAGCTGCGACCTGGCCCTGCTGGAGACCTACTGCGCCACCCCCGCCAAGTCCGAGAGGGACGTGTCGACCCCTCCGACCGTGCTTCCGGTAAGCCGGCCCCCCCAGCCTGGGCCCGTGGGTGGCCCCCCAGCTCTGGGCCCGTGGACGGCCCGGCCCCTGTGAGGGGAACCGGGGTCTCCGGGACCCTCCCCTCTCTCTGGAGCCCCTCGGGGCTGTCACCTCTAAGCCAGGGGGCCAGGATGCGGCAGCTCCTTAGCTGGAAGCGCGGCTAGGGAGTCCCTTACATGTTTGCCACGTGCCCCCCCCCCCCCCCCCCCCACACACACACACACACACACACACACACACACACACACACACACACACATGAACACTCACGCAGCAAAGAGAGTATGAGATTTCCAGGATCCCGAAGTAACAGCAAGGTTTCCAAGCAGGAGAAGTCAGTTCCAGGATTTCCCTCAGCACCCTCTCTTTACCTCTCCATGGGCGTCAGTCTCTCCCT